GCTATAAGCTATTGGCAACAACATTTGAAGCTGTTAGAGCGGATGTGAGGAAAGCTAATGTATCCACGTTCATCAACATAGTTTTCGTGACAAAATAAACACTTGGTAATTATTTGAAAAGCAATGATAATGACTATACCTGGTTGCCATTCCAAAGCCAGCATGGAACTCCATACAACTGTACAACTACAATAAAATGCGTATAAAATACCGGCATTGAAATCAATAAAAAATTGTCAATAATTTGTTTTCAACGTTATCCAAGGCCCCCAAATGCCATCTAGATCCTCTAAAGTTTTTTTTTTCCCATAATTATAAACTTCAAAGTTCTCACGAAGCGGAGTTTAATAATAACCGATTATTGACCGAGCGTGAGATCTTTACTGCGAAACATCAGACCGTGGCTTTTATATAATATTGTATGCAGAGGAATATTGAAATAATATTAAATAAAAATTAAAATATGAATATTAGTTTATTATCCGGAGTTGAAAAAAACAAGTACAGTATGGGCATGCAATCATGTACCTTTTATATTTATAAACGCTGACATAATTCGGCTTGATAATTTTAAAATTCAGTAGAAAATCACGCATCAACACATATCACGCGATGATGTAAATCTCGCCAAATATCTTGTTCACTACCTTTACAAAGTACACCATAGCATGCAATAGTTTTAGTGGCATTTAAAAAGCAATCTCTTTGCAGCTGTACATGTTATTAACACCGAGTCAATTTAGAAAGCTACTTTCACTTCAACAAGTGCAATGGGTGAGCCTGCAAGAAAAGGTGTACGATCATGTACATGTAAATAAACTCTGCTAGCTAGTCTTTCAAAGAAATTCCTAAGAAGCGACCACGTGTATTCATAACCTGAACACTGATGAAAATGGGTCACGGGTACGAAATTTGGCCGTACCAATAATTTGACTGCAGTGAAACAAATACAAATAGATAATTTCTTTTCAATATTGTGTCACTTTCTCGTCATCGAACTAGTTATGTCAGTCTATATATAAGTGCCATGATTCTCGCTCTAAAGAAACTTGACATCTGAATTGACCCTAAAAAACCCAAGGGTCTGCAACACAATTTTAGATTTTGTGGTATTAGCCAATTTAAAAGTTTATATACAGTGTGTATAAAAAATATTCAAATCCAACTTTGACAAGCTGCTTATAAAATAGTAAAGTAAACGATATAGTTTTTATATGGATTTTAGTAGGATATGACACCGAGTGGCAGCCTGCCATAGCAAGCAGATAATTCTACTTGACCACGGCAGGATTTGAACCCGCGGCCTTCGGTATACTAGTTTTTATATGGCAACAAAGATTAGCTTATTTAGTTTACGATTAACCGTTCTTATATCGACACGACCAAAACTGGCCGAGTTATCGTCTTTTAAAAAATGTTGCTCGAAATCAATTTTTTTCCGCCGATGGGAATTCGAAATTAGACCTCCATGCAGACAAAAGAAAATGCAAATTTAATTAATGGAGGCATTGTGTTCTTCAAACTTCTATCGTTGAACATTGAATAAGCAGAATTTTTGCGATAAATTTGCATTGTAGTTTTCAGTAGTGATTAGATTTTAAAGCCCTTTAATTGGGACTAATTTTCAATAAAACAAACGTCCAGTTCCCATCGGCGGAAAATGGTGATTTTTATGAACTTTTTTGTCGAACCAGTACTTCTTCATTTTTCAACTAAATTACACGTACAACGTGTCATTTGAAAAAGAAATAAATGAACTTAACAATGGTGTAAAAATCGTGAAAATACGCTTTAAGATAATTATTCTGTATTCGGAATTCAATGACTGTGCCGTTATCATTCCAAAACCAGCAAGAGACTTACAAATACAATATTAATTGTTTTCCAGGAATAACATTTGGAAACCTAAATATACCTGCTCAATGAAAGTGAAACTGATCTCTACTGATCTAAATTATTTTATATCATGGGCGGTGAAACTACACGGATTTTGGGGGGAGGCCATTTATTCACATACACTGTTCTGCGCGATGGATTTTTTTTGACCCATTGACTTCGTTCATTTTCGCGCTTGTATACCATGAAATATCTACAAACACTGATAAGTACAGATTGCAGTCACGTAGCAATGCGGCCTGACAATTTAGTCCTGCTATACTAATATTTTAGTGCATCTTGATTATGAAAACAAATAATTTCTGCAGAAATGAATAATGATTATTTGTTCATCAAGGAATAAGACGCTGACACTTTGTATGCAAGATCAAATCCACTCCAATGAAACTCTACTCCACAAATCCAATAAAAAATTATCCTGTCCAGTTGTAGAACCAAAATACCAATATAATACCAAAAAAAAATTTTGTACCAAAATAATAGTACGAGTTATGTTTGAAATATTCATCAAAATTAAAAAAGCGGGATGGGAGAGTTTAATTTTCCCAAATTTGAAACATCACGAGTACTATTCTAATAACCGCTAATTGTACCAGCAACACTACATTATTGCATGGCAAGGCCGTGCGCAGGATGTTTAAACAATAATTCATTTTGACTGCTCTGCGTCGTTTGATTCCAAATTTATCTTCCAGAATTTAATTTACATACTTCTGAAAACTCAAAATTCGCGTCCCGTTGTCGCTTCGCGTCCGGTCTGTGTCCACCTTAATAAGTAAATAAACACGGCGGAGTATATCGGCTAAATGCACATCAAAAACTGTAATCACCATCCTTAAGTCTCACCAAACAAAGAAGAAACATTATACAATTAAAAACTAAGTAATATTATTAGAAAACTACTGCAGAAAATGACTACTTTTTTATTGTTGTCTTTAATTATTGTAATAAAAGAAAATAATGTAATAAAAAACGAACTACAAAGCATGCGTTGATACGTACTACATAGAATATAGTAATTATATTTGCTAACTTAGTCAGTAATTTAGGGTCCAATATTCATAATTTACGGTAATTCTATGTCGTTAGTAATTGAAGGCCTTAACTTTTTAAGCCTAAAAATTGTCTTGAATTTTCCAATTGGAAGCTTGCAGGTCCTAACAATTGTTTCCACTTATACTATGTTACTATTTGCTGTAATCATCTTCCTGGCAACATCTCGCAGTATATGACAATATTAGAAGATAAAAAGGTCTTAGAATGCGAGACGAATATAGAGGCTGAAAATAAACAATGGCTCAATTTCAAAAACTTTTGACGAAACAGTAATACAGGCACATGCAGATAATTATTTTTCATCGGTTAAATGTATTTTATGAAACAAATGAAAAAAACACACTTTATTATTAGAAACAAAATGTGCATGGTTACATCTTCTCAATTCTAAAACCCTTCATCTTCGATTAATACTTTGAAAAATTAAAATTTAAGTTTAACTGATTTTCTGTGAACATTACGACCAACATTCTTCAACCACTTTGTGGACTGGCATAATTCTTTTCGCACTTCCTTGCTTATGTGATGTCTCTCCTCGTACAACGCTACTGAACGGCATATCTGTACGCACATGGTCGCTATAACGGTCCGTTAATGAAATTGTTTGAACACGATCCACGCAGTATATAGATGAAACAAAAGCCTTTCATATCCATATCCGCTTCCTTTCCTTAAATACACTTGGCCAGTTATGATCACGATTTGTACAAAATTTCGAGGCACCAGTAAAGGTGATTCATTTAAAGCACAAGATCAATAACCACTCGCGCCGTGTGCATGATTATAAATAAGGAAGCAACAAATACACATATGGGTATAATTATATCGTTTAGTCGACTGAAGCACTGTCACAATACCCAACTCTTCATCTGTCCAATACTTTAACACTGGTAACATATTTCGATTTTATTGCTTTCCTTTTCTAGTTCAGTGAGTAGCATGATCACGGTACACCATATGATGAGTTTAAAGTGTATTCCTTTTCTCAATGTAAAATAATTGCTCTTGCAGTCTTGCCGATTTCTAACTTTCGTATGTGAAGCAATCATTCTTTCAATATTGTTTCAATTATTGTTTCAGTTGCCCGATTTTTGTTACGCCGATGAAATAACTGTGAAGACGTTTGTCAACAATTGTCAAAACAAATGTCATTAGTGTTCTACTGGGTCGTAGAAGGTAGATCGGTTTGATTGATGTTATCTTTTTTTTAAACAGAAGGCAAAATATTGAACTATTTCATATGTTTTTAACGATGTTTTCGGCGTTGCAAGTTCAAAGTCCTTATCACCGAACAACGCTTTGATGATCCTCATATATTTTACATCCTTCTTCATTGCGGAAACACATCAATACAATACGCGTGATGTCGGTCCACTAGGTTTTAGAATGTTGGCTAAAGTTTATGTTATTTCTTATCTATAAATAAGTATCAAGTTATATCTGAAAGCGTTTGATGCTTACAACGTTGTAAGAAAAATTGAAACTCTCCTCTTTCTTTATGAAAGTTTAAGCATACTTTGAGAACCTCATTTATTAATGGTAGGTAGGTACATTTAGTATAAATATAACTCTGATTCGAATAACAGAAAATTACAGAACAAAAATCAATTAATCAATAATTTTGACTTTTTTACTAAACTAAGTTTGCTTAAAATTTCTTAACATTAGAAGCTGCCGCATATAAATTAAATATTTCTCTTATCTTAAAGAAAAACTCTGGAATTCCGCAAACTTATAATATTGAAGGTCAACTTTTCCACATATAATTTGCTACAGGCACTTTATTTTCTAGATGCCCATACAAGCACCAAAATATATCTCGGAAACGCTGAGCAGGACGGTGTTAGCCTGCATTTGTTTTTCTAAGTAATTTTTTTTTTGCTATGTTGCGCATGCCTGAAACAAGTGTACATTTATTTCTGGGAGCAAGTTCAAATGCTTGCACAAAAAGTTTAATCTGCAAAGTCAAATAAAGTGCTGCTTTTATCAGTGAAAATTTCATACAGGCAGCCACCCCCTTTTTTCAAAAATATAACTATTGGATGTGAACCGATGACGAGTGGAGAAAAATAATAGAATATCTGCTTGCTATAGCGTATTGTTTTAACACTGAAATGATATCCTACATATAATTTTACTTGCATATTGGAAATTAAAGAGAAGTAAGCAGGTTAATGTTCTAATCCTGACTGGCCCGATACCTCAATAATGCTATTCCCCTTCTTGGGACCAGCGTATGCAAATAATGGGAATAGGGAATAAGTATGCAAATAATGGGGATAGGGAATTCTTAAATCACATTTGAATTGAAATTGATATATACTTACGGCTTGGCGATAACTGCAAAACTGCATACCAATCGTACTTCGTCCAATGCACTATCACACTTTGAAGAGAGGAAATGTCTACTTATATTGATTTAAAAAACTGAATATTTCAAATCCGATACTGGCTACACAAAGCTATATAATTATTATACTTACAAACCTTAGGGTAATACAACAAAACCAGAGAACATGTCACGTGATTTATCTCTGATATTTTCGATGTCATGTTTCTGAAAAACCACGTCCTCCCCGTAGATGGTAAATGGGGCCCAGATTTTGTAAGACCGGTATGCCTGGATTTGGTGTTTTTGGAAGAGATTCTTTGTCTTTCTTAGTGCTTCACAAACCGATGTTCCCTGGCACAACTCACCATAAAATACTTCCATAAACTCTTTCGTGGCATCATCACTAATGGGCCATAGTGTGGCGAGAACAGTGCGAGCCCCGGCTGCAATAAATGCCCGAGCAATACCTATGACACCTTCGGAAGAAATCTCACCTTGCCCGGTATGGCAACAGCATAAAACTACCAAGCTAGCTAGCAAAGAAGTATTTACAATATCCTTCTGTGAGAGAAGGTAGTCGTCTGGATAAGGAAGAGTCGAAAATGGCCGAGTCGAAGAAACGTTAGGGGAAAGCATTATTTCACCTCGAAGTTGTTCACCGTGAGCAGCGATATGGATTATGCTAGCCCCAGATAAAAGATCCAGTACAACCTGTTTTCTAGCTTCACGCCCCACTAAGGGTCTAGCATTGAAGAGCTTTGAAAGACATTCAACTTCTCTAGCAGCATTTGGTAGGGCAGGGGGTGAAAATTCTTTTCCATTTAAGGAAACCGTTCCAACGGTTGGATTACCAACAAACAACGCAAAACCAAGGCCCAGATCTTGAGAGCGTTCAATGCTAAACCTTAGAGTGTGTAATGATGGCGTAACTTGAATGCTGTAATTGTGGGATAAGTGACAACCATTTTCATCAATCAATGACGAAAATTGGACAAAAAACAATTGCTTGTCAGGAACAACTATAAGTTTATTGCCTTTAATCACATCGCTTACAGGGTCAATAAGTAGTTTAAACAATGTTTTCAAAATACCGTCTTGGTTTAAATCATCATGCCCAACAGAAGGTTTCTGATAAAGATTTTTGGACGGAGATTTTTCTTTAAAAACGTCCAAAGGAAGAATCGATTTTTCATCAATACTGGGCACTGAATTAAGTTCGAAAAACGAGGAAATCCCGATTAACATTCACATTCACCATTCTGAACAATTCACTTATCAGTTGCACAAATTTTTCCAATCGTGCCTCTGATTTTGACACTCTATATCTAAAGATTACTTCTTTATTCAACACCCAAACATTTAGAAAACCTGGCCAATCAAAAGCGAATACTATAATGGAACTATCGTTGCCGCTTACCTGGAGGATGCTTTGTAAATCTTCGATTTCTACCTGTTCTTCACCATTCTTGATTCTATTCCATCCCGAACTTGCATAATCGAACATTTTTGTATTCAAAGATTTCTTTTTTCTTTCAATGGACCAATGAAGTTCTTTAGCCCTTCCAAGGTCAATGACTAATAATGCAGATTCAATGCGACCCACAGAAATAAAACAAATCATGATCTTTACATGGGTGGTAAAGTATTGTTTAGTGAATGACACTTATTTTGGTCTGGTACTGAGTTTAAAAACATTTTGTCAAGGATGCTGATAGATTCCATGAAACATGATATTGCACCTTTATATTGTCCTAATAATACAAGAACAAATCCCAAATTGCTTTTACTAATTGCTAAGAGTGACGGATCATTAATATCAATGCTTATTTCTAAAGCTTTCTTGTAATAGTCAATGGCTTTCTCATATTCTCCTAATCCAAGGTAGGCACTGCCCAAATTTAATTTCTGAGTGGCTATTGCAGATTTATCGCCCATACCAGTACTAATTTCTAATCCCTTTCTGTAACAGTCAATAGCTTTCTCGTATTCTTCAAAGCTGTGGTAAGCACTGCCCAAATGACAATAGCTCTTTGTATTGCGGACTTATTGCCAATGGCAGTACTCATTTCTAAACTTTTTTTGGAATAATGAATAGATTTTTCATATTGTCCTAAACATCTAAAAACAACGCTCATATAACAATTGACCTCTGCTATTTGATACTTATCGCCAATAGCGGTACTAATTTCTAAACACTTTTTTTGACAATCAATAGATTTTTCATACTCTCCCAAGAATATATGAGCAATGCCCAAACCGCCATTCGCATCTGCTATCCCTGATTTATCGCCAATAATAGTACTTATTTCCAAACCTTTTTCGAGGTAATCAATAGCTTTGGCGAATTCTCTCAAATAACGGTAGGCGATGCCCAATTTGACATTGCTTGTTGCTATGCCTGACTTATCCCCTATAGCAGTACTCATTTCTAAACCTTTTTTGTAATAATAAATAGCTTTCTCATACTCTCCAAAACTAACGCAATATCACCCAAATTGCCATTCCAAGATGCTATTCTTCCTTATCACAAATATAGCGACTTAATTCCAAGCATTTTTCGCAATAATCAATGGTTTCACATCGTCTCGTAATCCAAGGTAGGCATTTGCCAAGTCTTTACAAGTTTTTGCTATTCCTAGCTTATCACCAATAACAGTTCTCATTTCTAAACTAGTTTCAAAGAGTCGATGGCTTTTTAAAATCTCCAATTTTTAGGTAGGCAATGCCTAAATTGCTATTGTTGAGCAACTGCAGACGTCTGGCCAATATCAGCACTCATCTCTACACTTTTTTTGAAATAGTCAATAGCTTTCTCGTATTCTCCTAAATAAGGTAGGCATCACCCAAATTTTCATTGTTATTTGCTATTCCTGACTATTATCAACAGCAGTACTCATTTCTAAACCCTTTTTGCAATAGTCAATAGCTTTCTCATACTCTCCTAAATTGAGATAGGCTTTACCTAACACTCCACTGTTTCTTGCTATTTCTAAATTATCACCAATAGCAGTACTCGTTTCTAAACCTTTTTTGCCATAGTCAATAGCCTTGGCATATTCTCCCAAACTATGGTAGGTTATGCCTAAATTGGCATTGTTATTTGCTGCTACTGACTTATCGCCAATAACAGTACTTATTTCTAAACCTTTTTGAAATAGTCAATGGCTTTTTCATATTCTCCTAAACTATGGTAGGTCATGCCTAAATAGGTATTGTTAGTTGCTATTCCTGATTTATAACCAATAGCTGTACTCATTTCCAAACCTGTTTTGATATAGTCAATGGACTTCTCATACTCGCCTAAATTACGGTAGGCACTGCCCAAATTCCCATTGTTAGTCGCTATTCCTGACTTGTCGCCTATAGTCAGTACTCATTTCTAAACCTTTTATACAATATTCAATGGCTTCCTCATATTTTCCTAAATAGATGTAGGCATTACCCAAATTGCCATTGTTAGCAGCAATTCCTGACTTATCGCCATTGGCAGTACTCATTTCTAAACCTTTTCTATAATAGCTAATGGCTTTCTCATATTTTCCTAATTTAAGGTAAGCATTGCCTAAATTGCCATAATTAGTTTCTATTCCTGATTTATGGCCGATAGCAGTTTCCATCTCTAAACTCTTCTTAAAAAAGTCAATGGCTTTTTCATATTTTCCTAACAGAAGATAAACATTGCCCACATTGCCATTTATAGTTGCTATACATGATTTATCGCCAATAGCGGTACTAATTTCTAAACCTTTGTCAAAGTAGGCTATAGCCTTCTCATATTCTCCCAAACCAAAGTAGGCATTACCCAAATTGCAATTTTTACTTGCTATACCTAGCTTATCACCAATAGCAGTACTCAATTCTAAACCTTTTTTTGAATAGCCAACGGATTTTACGTATTCTCTTAATTCATTATAAACATAGCCCAAATAGCCATTGTTATCAGCCATTCCTGACTTATCACCAATAGCTGCACTCATCTCCAAACCTATTTTGAAATAGTCAATGGACTTCTCATATTCGCCTAAAGTAAGGTAGGCATTGCCCAAATTGCTATTGTTGGTCGCTATTCCTGACTTGTAGCCTATAGCAGTACTAATTTCTAAACCTTTTATATAACATTCAATGGCTTCCTCATATTTCCTAAATAGAGGTAGGCATTACCCAAATGGCGATTGTTAATTGCCATTCCTAACTTGTTGCCATTAGCAGTACTCATTCCCAAACTTTTTCTGTAATAGCTAATGGCTTTCTCATATTCTCCCAATCTAAAGTAAGCATTGCCCAAATGGCCATAGTTAGTTTCTATTCCTGATTTATGGCCGATAGCAGTTTGGATTTCTAAACTATTTTTAAAATAGTCAATAGCTTTCTCATAATCTCCTAATCTAAGGTAAGCATAGCCTAAATCGCCATAGTTAGTTTCTATTCCTGATTTATGGCCGATAACAGTTCGCATTTCTAAACTCTTTTTAAAATAGTCAATTGCTTTCTCATATTCTCCGAACATAAGGTAAACATTGCCCACATCGCCATTTACAGTTGCTATACATGATTTATCGTTAATAGCAGTACTAATTTCTAAACCTTTGTTAAAATAGCCAATAGCCTTCTCATATTCTCTCAAACGAAGGTAGGCATTTCCCAAATTGCAATTTTTACTTGCTATACCTGGCTTATCACCAATAGCAGTACTCAATTCTAAACCTTGTCTTAAATAGCTAACGGATTTAACGTATTCTCCTAATCTAAAATAAACACTGCCTAAATTGCCATTGTTATCGGCCATTCCTGACTTATCGCCAATGGCAATATTCATTTCTAAACCATTTTTTAAATAGTCAATAGCTTTTTTATATTCTCCTAAACTAAGGTAAACACTACCCAATTTGCCATTAATATTTGCCATTCCTGACTTGTCGCCAATAGCAGCACTGATTTCCAAACCTTTTTTGAAATAGTCAATAGCTTTGTCATGCTCTCCTAAACTATGATAGGCAGTGCCTAAATTGCCATTGTTATTTGCCACTCCTGAGTGATTGTCAAATTGAATGAAAATTTCTAAGCTTGTTGCAAAATACTCGATAGCCTCTTCAGGCTGTCCTAGGTTTAAACAGGCAGAACCCAGTTTCTCACAGGCAGTTGCTAACCCTTGAAAATTGCCAATTTCAGTACAAATTTCCTGATATTTAATGTAATAGGTAATAGCCTTTTTATACTCTGCTAATCTAAAATGGGTTTCACCTAAGTTGAGATTGATGTTTGCTCTTTCTAAGGGATCATTGTTTGCAGTGACAGATTTTGAAGACTTCGAATCCATTTCGTCACCTTTTCAAGTGTCTCTATCTTTACTTCAGACCTTAAACAAAATTATGTAAAAACTAATTAGAAGAGGTTAATTAATGTATATACCGCGCATGGAAGAGTATTTCCTTTGTTGACACTATCGAATTTTGAGGTGTTATTGTGATCGACACTTGTAACAGTATTAATCGGACTGGTAATAGTGATATTGAAAATGCACCATAGGGCTGTTTTTGGGACAAACCTTTGTTTACGTCCCAAAAACAGTTCCTTAACTCTTTTAAATAAACAATAATATAAGTTACTGCATTAGTATACATTCATTTCTAAGAGAGAGCCTTTGTTCACGTCCCAAAAATAGGACTTAACTGGTGTTGATTCCCTCAACCTTTTGTGCAATAGCGAATGGTTTTCGCCTTTTCGCGCATTCTCCTAATCTAAAAGATAAGCAATTCCTAGCAATTGTTGCCTGCTTGTGCGTTTACAATTAGTTGAGCCGAACCATTATTATCGGCACGTTTATTTGAAAAGAAAAGCAACTGAAGGCACGGACCTTAAAACCGCTATATCAGATATTAGAAAATGAAAATGTGTAATAGAAGTGTAATAAACATACGCTCTTCTTCGGACTTCTACGATATTTGATAGTACCTAGGAAATCCACGCCGATTATGGTGAAAGGTATTATTATCATCTTAGGTCTATTCATGTGCAAAAATTCAGCAGGCGGGCTTGGAATGGTTATACAACAGGAAATCTCTTACATCCATAACGTTTCTTTAGGGATCGCTTTGCCAACATACGAAAGCAAAGATTGCCGAGGAATCCAAAATCTTCACGAACTTTCGCGTTCACAAACTTTCCACTCTTGGGCTCTGCGGACCGAAAATAGCTCTGGAATCTTGATCTATAATCTCCTGTAATGTTAATACTCTCTGGATCTTGTTGGAAGGATTTCGAGGATTGTGCTTGAATCTCAAAGCTGAATCATCAATCTTTCTTGTTTTACTCAAGCTGAACTCTTCGATCGAGAATCATCCAGGCCATTATTCCCCTTTTCTCAGCATCAATTCTTGCTTTTGTACTTGTCACGATCTGAGGTGGCCATTCACCTGGATCAGCCAACTAGACTGGACATTTTCACCACACAACGCTGCTGACGTGAGACTGACGCCACGACTACCCATGTCTGCAGGGTTGTCAGATGTAGGAACATAAACTGATGGCTTTGTAACACTTTCGGATGCCTTATAATTTTGTTGACACGGTTTGCAATGAATTGTCGGTATTCGCTACAGTCGTTAAACCAATGGACGGCTACTGTGCTTTCTAAAATACATGAAAATGTCACGTTTTAAAGTTTATCGATATCAGGGAAGTTTTCATTATCCTCAGCATTTTCCAAGGAAGGCCAGGAAGTTCGTCCTTTCCAAGGTTGACCAAGCTGCTCATCTTGATTTTCAAATGAATGTTAACGGTCATTAGGATTTGTTTCCAGCTCCTCTTCTTCGTTCGGATTCGATTTGTGAATGAAGAACAAACTGAGAATCGTTTAAGGACATCGATATGAACGGCATCTCCTCGGATCGCAGTTACGAATTTGAGAAATGTGTGGTGCCAATCCTCCAAACGGGCAACTGGATGCAGGCGATTTCTCACCAACACACTCCAAAACTTATTCTGCAAGTAGTGGCCCTCATTCAACAAAGATGCATTATTGGAGACACGTCCAGACGCGCGTGGATTCGGTTTATACTCCTTATTTGACCAGCTTTTTCATAACACTGGGCAATCCGCATTCGTTTAAAAAGCTGTCTTTTAGTGATCTTTGCGCTAACAAGCAACCTTTTTACTTTGTTGGCATAGTACTTAATACAGTATTAATCTTATACACGCATATATTAAACCACTGTGAAGGTAGCCTATAGGAATTTGAAAATTTTATAATTTGTATAAAGTAATTAGCAAGCTTTTAAAATTTAAGTCCGAATAAAATTACACAATTTTAACATTATTATGACTCCCGTAAAATTCGCATGTCAGCTCATAACTCAAATCAAGTTGAGTTCAATCCAATTATATAACAGCTCAATACATATAAATACTACATTCGAATGTTCTCACTCACATGCCATATATATTTATGTTCGTTTTTTAGTCGCATTTCGCAAATCCGGAATGCTGATTACTGGAGGAGAAACACTTATAATGTGCATAAATAACGAAAACTTCCTTTAGGATTTATGTTAGGATTGATCGAATTTTCTATTAAACAGGCAGAAGTAACATATTAAACAGGCAACTGTATAGCTATGCAAAAAATGTATACTGTAAATTTGAAAAAGCATCTAATATTATAAATTATAAAAAAGTCTTCACGGCTATACAGAACATGAAGCATGATTGCGACGTGATCTATTTATTTATCTATGCATTTATTTATTTACACATCTTGCCCGAGTCACTTATCTGAGTTTTGCTGGAATCGCAGTAGTGCAAAGTGAAACGGCATTAAAATTTGTTAAAATAAATTTCTCTTTGACTTTTCACTCCAGGCCAGAGTTATATAAATTGTTGTCAAAAACTCAATCTTTGGTTATGATTTGTTTTGAAACAATTTTGCTTTTTTTCCAAGGTTGACGAAGCTGCTTATTTTGTTTTCCAAATTAATGTTCACGGTCATTAGTAGGATTTGTGTCCAGCTCCTCTACGTTCGGATTCGATTTGTGAAGACTGATGAAGAACAAACTCATGCAGAATCTTCCATTGTTTGCATAGTGAGAGTCTACTGACACTAGGTACACCACATAAGTATTTAATACTGCAAAGCTATCGGGCCGTTAACCCGGGCTTTCATCAGTGCAATTACCTGAATACACATTTACACTGTTTACACGTCACTTAAATATCACGTTAATCATGGTTTGTTACCTCGCGCCATTCACTTACCAAAATTAATATTTATGAAAAACAAATAGTTCCAATAAATAGGTCTATTATATAGTTTTAATCTTTTTTTTTGCTCAATAGTACGTGGCGTGCTCTTTTCAATGTCAGCTAGCTAAATACTAGTCTAGGACACGCGTATAATTAAAACTATAACTTTTTCATAATTATTTGGTAATTGAAACCGCTTAATTAATGGCGTAAGCTAACAAATCACGCCTAACGTGTTATTTTAGTGCCGTGTAAATGTTATTTCAGGGATTTCTCCTGATGAAGGCCCGGGTTAACAGGCCGAAAGCTTTGCAGTATCAAATACTTATTAGATTACTTAAACTGAGAATCGTTGAAGATCTCGATATATGACGCTAGGGCATCGCGTCGGATTCAAGGATACGAAGGGTGCCCAAAAGGGCAACTGGATGCAGGTCATTTCTCAGCAACACATGATGAACTGTTCGTTCCACTGGCCGTACTGCCAGTGGAAGTACTCGGCGCTTCCGTCGTGATGGCGATTTGGATTGATATATTCTCAACTCAAATAACACAATGTGCTTTCGCCATTTTATTTAAGTACATAAAAAATACATTCGCCCTAAGTACATACAATGAGAAATACGATGAGATCACATTTTAACACCCCCACTAGCTTGATCTCATTCATATTTGCTTAACTCAGATACATCAATGGTTAACATAACTTTAACGATAATCAATATTTTACAAATATTTTAGGTACCAAATATAAAATCTTTGAATCTTTGCAACTTTGAACGTGTTGGTGATTTAGTCATTATATCAGCTATCATATTTGTAGTAGGACAGTAGTATCTACAACCTTGCCTGCGTTGATAGTCGAGCGGATAAAATGATAACGAATATCTATATGTTTTGACCTATTTCGATTAACTGGATCTTTCGATAAAGCTATCGTACCCTGATTATATTCATAAATTTGAATTAGACAACAAATATTAACGAGTTTGTTTAATAACTGGATGAGGTGAAGAGCTTCCTGAACGGTCACTGCCAGAGCAATATTCTCTGCCTCACAAGAGGAGAGCGCCACAGTCGGTTGTTTCTTTGATCTTCATGAGATCAATGGCCCGGTTTCAGTTAAACTGAAACAGTACCCTCTGATACTTCGTCTATCATGGATCGAAGAGTTCCAGTCAGCATCGCTAAAACCAACTAACCGCAAATCATCATCACACTTTCTATAACACAA